GCACCGCCCGCCGCTCCGGCAGCCCCGGGCCGCCCCGGGCAGCCCCGGGCGGGAAGGCAGGAGGAGAGAACGGCGCGGCCCGACACCTAGCAGTTAGAGGCGGGAACCAAAGCCGAGTCGCCGCCGCCGCCCACCATGAAACCGTGGGAGCAGCCGCCGCGGCTGTGGCTGCGAGGAGGAAGCCCGGGGCCGAGTGGGGCGCTCGTGCTGGGAAAGGCTCTCCCGCCCGGCGGCGGCGGCCGTGGCGTCGGCGCCGAAGGCTCCTCGGTGCCCGGCTCCTGTCTCCGACAGCATCACTTGCTAGGACACTACCGTTACTCAGGGTGAAGGACAGAGAGGGAGGGAGCGGGGGTGGGGGAGGGAGAATCAATTCCTTATCAGACAGAGCGAGCTGGAGAGGAAATCAGAACAGCAGGTAGGGAGTGAGGAATCAGAGAAACTTTTCTCCGTATTCTCCCATTTCTCTGCCGGAGGATCTAGAGCCCTTTTCCATTTACAGATACAAGTTTCCTAAGGAATGGGGAAAGGAAGTCGTCTGGCTTGCTAATTTTTCTGAAGTCGTATTTACCCAGTTCGACTCCAGATTTGTTTCAGCAAGCATCACTTGTTCGTTGTGTTACTCTAAGACTTAGTTGAAACTACGGAGGTTTAAGTACATTTCCTTGAGTGCCTTTGTACCCCAAGAACGGTAATGTTTGAACGTGCATTGTGCTTCAGTTTTTTTTTTAAATAAGTCTCAAAACCATCTAACAAGATTTATATACATTCCAATAAATGTTTTCCAGCAAAATTTAAAGTCTCCTTTTTAAAACTTCAATAATAATAAATAAAGCTTTTTTTTTTTCATCTTAAAAATCAAAAGCAATACTGGAATTTTAGTCAAAAGGAGTCTTAAGGATCAAAGAATTTATCCCTTTTTTTTTAGAAATAAGAAAACTGAGGCCTAGAAAGAGGAAGTAAACTAGTCATGGAAGGCAGCTAGTGAGAAAACTCAGATTAGACTGAGGTGAGTGTATTTTCCAAGGCTTTCAATTGCCTCAAATATGCAGTTTTCAATCAAGTCCAGCTTGGAAGAGTCACAGAAATACCAGACATGCTATGATGAGATGAAATAAGATACTCATCTTTTAACTGTATCCAATTATACTGTATTTTTTCAGGGAGCAGTTCTTCCCGAAATTAAATAAAACACAAGTAAGGAAATGTAGTAGCTCTTTTGAATTCAGTTCTTAAAAAGTAATTAAAATATTGTGTGTTTTATTAAGGTGATAACAAATCTGATGTTTAAGGAAACGATATTTATTTGTACATCTGACAGAAAATACAAGTAAATACCGTCTAGTGCTTTACGCTTCGAAGCACCTTTTCCGTATTAGCACATGCCGAAATAGAAGTGTTAAAATCTTCACAATATACATTTCTAGACCCCTTCAATTCCACCTCTGAAATATCTCTAAAGGAAGACTGCTCTTTGGACCCCAATACCGCTGCCTCAGTTCAGGCTCCCATCAACCTCCCTGCTTTCTGTCTTTATGCAGCCTACCTCTCCCCATACCATTTCATTTTCCACGCTATTAAGCCAGACCATGCTCAGAGCAAGTCTGATCGTGACTTTTCTCTATAAAAATCTTTGGTGGCTTTCCACTGCTTTCAGGATGAGATCCAAATTTGGCATGCCCAGCCCTTAGTGGTCTGACCTTATTTCTTCACTCTGTCCTCCCATCCTTCCTTATACACATCCTAACTCCAGTTACCCTGAACTTTTTGCTCATCACCTGACATTCTAGATACTTTCTCATTTCCCTGCCTTTGTCTGCGGTACTCCTGTCACTGAAATGTCTCTCTTCCCCTGTCCACCCAGCACACTTCTACTTTTTCCTAAAGACTTAGGTTGGATGTGGCTTCCAATCTGCTCCCCTTTCTATATCTCAGTGAAGTTCTCATGGCCATTGGTCCTTACCCATGGCACTCTGTGCATACCACAATCTTACTGGTCACATCATTTTGAAATTAACTCTTTCTGTACCTGTGTCCTCTTTAGACTGAATTCCTTTGAGGATGGTCTGGGGTCTTATTTACTTTGAGCCACTTGGGAGCTTATCTTTTTGTTTTTGCCATTTAGCTCAGTACATGATGTGCTGGAGAAGCTCAACAAATATTTGTTGAATTAATTTATGAAGTCTACAACTTCTTTATAATTATGTAAAGTTCATGAACTGCTTTTTTTTAAAGATTTTATTTATGAGAGAAAGAGTGCACAAGAGAGCATGAGTGGGGGAGAGGGGCAAAAGGAGAGGGAGAAGCAGACTCCATGCAGAGTAGAGAGCCCGAGTACTCGGGGCTGGATCCCAGGGCCCTGGGACCATGACCTGAGCTGAAGGCAGACGCTTAACTGAGTGAGACACCCAGGCGCCCCTTGAACTGCTCTTATTAGGCTCTGGATAAAAGCACTTTGGGAATGCTGGTGTCACCAGGGTTTACTCTTATACACTGTATTAGTTTTGCTAGGGCTGCCATAACAAAGTATCACAGAGTGGATGAAAAACAGAAATTCATTTTCTGACAATTCTGGGGGCTAGAAGTCTGAGATCAAGATGTTGGCAGGGTTGTTTTCCCCTGACAGATTGTAGATGATCATCTTCTCTTCTGTCTTCACGTGGTCTTCCTTCTGTGTCTGTGTCCTCATCTCTTATAAGGATGTCAGTCATTTGGGTTAGGGCCTATGACCTCATTTTTACTTAATTACCTCTTTAAAGACTCTATCTACTAATAGACATCCTGAGGTATTGGGGAGTATGACTTCAACATATAAATTTGCTGGGGGAGGGGTGGTGGGGAGGAAGGGGGCAGCGTAATTCAGTTCATAACATAAACTAACTCTCCTGGTCTGAGGGAAGTCTCTTTCCAGAGTCTGCTAACATTTTTATTCTTAAGACGTATGCCCCTGAGATTGATGAAAACCCAGAGGAGAGGAAATCTGAAAGAAAGTAGGTTCTTGAAGATAGGAAATATGTTCTTCCCTGGCATAAGCCAGCTTTATCTTATGTCCTTCTTTTGTAAAAGAGGATCTATCACTGCATGTATGTTGTTAGTTATCTGTGTATTCATTAAATGAGTGTTCGCCTAACATACATTCAAAATCCATTATTCCTTTGGGGGAAAATCATTATTCAATATTCAGAAAATCCAACTGTTGAGGAAGATTATTTTCTTTTTTTTTTTTTAAAGATTTTATTTATTTATTTGAGACAGAGAGAATGAGAGAGAGAGAGC